TAAACAAAGTGAGTTATACTGATATCACTGACCAAATCAGGCCAGAGAAAGGAACCCAGAAGAGCACTGCCACCTCCACACGCTAACTCCAGAACCCCAGCTGGGATGTGAGACTTCATTTCTTTTTTTCCACCCCCCACCCCCAATCTTCCCCTGTGTGTCCTCTTACTTCCTCACCTTATTTCTTCTCTTTCCTAACACGCTCCTTTTTCCTTCTGTTTAATAAATGCCTGCTTTAGCTGGATAAGACTGTATATTTTGCAACATGGCTGTAAGCCTGTGACCAGAAAAGCAGTTAAAAACAATGCCCTAAACATCCCAATGGTGGTACAAGTTTGTCATGTCAAAGAGTGACTGATAAGACCCTGTGCTGTGCCTGTGTTTCTACAACAATAAGGTTGCAAGTAAGAGTCGGCACCAGACACAGAAACTGCATTTTCTATCTTTGGTGTTCCTTTCTCTCCGCTGTTGTGTATTTGTCTTGTTTTGCCAGGATCGGACTTCAAGAAAAATGCAAAAACAACAGTTCTAATCCATCTCCATTGACCTTCCTCTCTTCTCCCCAGTTATTATTATGTTTGACACCATCTAAAACACTGTTAAAAAGGGTTTTTTTCTTTGTAAAATCTCTGTCCAGTTAAGGAAAAGGAAAAAGAGATATTGTCAAAATAAAAGCCTTATTTAATACTTTACATTTCAAATACTTTAACTGTTTTTTCCTTTTCTTCTGCATGTTTAATAATAGGTTCAATAGATTTGGGGTGCTTGCCTTAATACTAAGCAGGTTGTGGTGTCTGTATACCAAATCTTGTTTAACACTGATTAATGTTGGACAATGACTGGGTTATGTTAACAACTTTGACTCTTTGGGCTCATGTATGCCATCTAAATTAGTACAACAAGCCTACTATGGAGGTGCTGGTAATGACTTCATAATGTTGGCTGAGTTCAACTTTGCACTTAAAGCCAGGATTCAACCTCTTTGCTATTGTGTCCAGCGTAGTTACAAGGAGCTGGCCATGGACTGTAATGCGAGTGTGTAAAAAATATCTCAGTCGGAAACAGGAGGATCTCTGGGTGAACAAGCATGGCAAGGGGCATTCCTGAAGTACCACGGTTTGCTGAAGTTCAGAGCAGTATAGTTGGGTTCAGAGACACCAGATCAGCAGGCAGGGGAACAAGATTCAAGATTCGCAAGTGCAGAGTGGATCCCTTTTGGCTGAGGCCAGAAGCAAGATCTACAGGCCTTTCTCCTGTCAACTGATCCTCTGGGAACCACTCCACTCTGACAATGTAACTGTACTGGCTGCTCACATTCGCTGATGGAGACTCTTGGATTAAGATTTTCATTCATGATCTAAGGGACCTTCTCAGTTCAGGATTGACTTTCATTGGGGGGGCCAGTGCTCTATGTTCAGAATAACAGTTCTGTTTGCAGCAGAAGTAAGGGTCCAGTACTTCTGACCAATCCTGCTGGAGTCCAGGTCTCGTGCCATTAGTGGGGTAGAGAGGAAGAAGCAGAAGAAGAAAAAAGACGGTTACTCACCTTTGTAACTGTTGTTCTTCGAGAGGTGTTGCTCATATCCATTCCAATTAGGTGTGCGCGCGCCGCGTGCATGATCGTCTGAGAAATTTTCTACCCTAGCAACACCCAGTGGGTCGGCTGTGGAGCCCCCGGAGTGGCGCCTTCATGGTGCTGGATATATACCCCAGCCGACACAGTGCCCCCTCAGTTCCTTCTTGCCGGCTACTCCGACAGTGGGGACGGGGGGCGGGTTTGGAATGGATATGAGCAACACATCTCGAAGAACAACAGTTACAAAGGTGA